GGACCAGACTTCTGTATGAGCAAGTTAGGGCCACTGGGTGAGTCAAGGAGGTTGTGTTGGAGATTTCAGCCCCAGAGATTGATTCTTTTAGGAGGAGGTGTGATAGAGATAGAGAACCAGACGTGTGTGCGCTGTTGCTAGAAAGCATCATAATCGTAGCAAGAGACTTGCGGTTCATGGGACCTCATGTCACGTCTCACGTGAACTTCACAGTAGCTGTGGCGCGTAGACCTGCTGCTCTCCCTGTTACAGAGGAGGATGCAAGAGGAGCGGGTTAGTCAGTTAAACCGTTATTTGTCTCACATGGTTACTGTATTGTGGTATTTTTCCATGAGAAAGGCAACGCCCATTTTTTTTTTTTTTAACTCCCCACTACAGAAGAGAAATGGGTTTTCCCAGGGCTTTGCTCAGAGTGGAGAAATGGCCATAAATTCCCAGTCTTTCCAACGTGTCTGCTATTACCTGGGGGTCTTTCTTGAGTTCATTTCATTATTAGTTGGTTAATTGAGTTTTCTCTCAGAGAAAGCAGGTCTGAGCTGCATTCTTTTCTGTGTATCAACTCTTGTAAAATCAGTTCTGAATTTCCAGTATCTGCTTTGTTAATCTCCAGTTGGTGCGTGTAGGGACATAAGCTTGATAGCGATTCGAAGTCTTGGGTTACAATGAGTCATGCATGCTTAAAATATATATGTGTGTGTATATATGTACATATATGTATGTGTATGCCTCTGTGTATATGCATGTGTGTATGTGTACCTGTGTGTTTTTGGTTGGGCTGCTGTAACGGAGTACCACTAACAGTAACTTAAACAATAGGAATTTATTAACTGACATTTCTGCAGGTTAGAAGTACAGAGTCAAGGCATGGGCGGGGTTGGTTCCTTCTGGTGTCTCTGAAGGAGAGATCTGTTCCAGGCCTTTCTCCATGACTTGTAGACAGCTGTCTTCATGCTTACATGGCTTTCTCCCTGTGTGCATGTCTGTGTTCAAATTACCCCTTTTTATAAGGACGCCAATCATATTGGATTTGGGCCCACCCTACTGACCTCATTTTAACTTGATCACGTCTATAAATTCCCTCTCTCCAAATAAATCACATTCTGAGGTACTGGGGGTTGGGACACCAATATGCGAATTTGGGGAGGACGCACTCAACCCATAACTCACTCTCTCTCCCTGTATCTATGTATATATCCCCCTTCTACACATACACACACACAAACACACACGCAAATATAGTTCGATATGTGCTATATTTCTATTAAATCTTAATGACATTTTAATATGTGGGCCTAATAATCATAGAGCCATTGTTGCATAACATTTCTGGAAAGTAGTGTTTTTGTCTAGTCTTACTATGGCCTCATAAAGTTGACTAATTTGTCTGCAGTAGAAATAATAGAATCACATCTTATCCTTCCCCGTCTCCAGTCTTGTTTCCAGATGCTCAGAATGTTGTCTCCTTGTGATGATAGAGGAATTACCATATTTTAAAAATGACTTTTTAAAAAAAGATTTTGTTTGTCAAAGAGAGAAGAGAGCACAAGCTGGGGGAGCAGTAGGCAGAGGGAGAGCCCGACACAGGACTCGATCCCAGGACTCTGAGATCGTGACCCGAACCAAAGGCAGATGCTTAACCATGTGTCCCTAAAAATGACTTTTAGAAAAACAAATGGAATCCAAATAGAGTGTGGAGTTTAGTAGATTCTAATGTATTTATATCAATCACTTCATTAATTGTGACAACAAACAATTAAGTTGTACCATAGTGATCTAAGGGTTAACAACAGAGAAAACTGGGTAGGCGGTATGATGGGAACTCTGCGCTGTCTTTGCAACTTTTCTTTTTTTTTTTTTTTTACAACTTTTCTAAATCTAAATCTGAATCTAAAACTATTCTAAAATAAAATGGTTATTTTTTTTTAAAGATTTTATTTATTTATTTGACAGACAGATCATTAAGTAGGCAGAGAGGCTGGCAGAGAGAGAGGAGGAAGCAGGCTCCTGGCCAAGCAGGGAGCCCGATGCGGGGCTGGATCCCCAGGACCTGGGATCATGACCTGAGCCAAAGGCAGAGGCTTTAACCCACTGAGCCACCCAGGGGCCCCTAAAATGGTTATCTTTTTTTAAGATTTTATTTATGAGAGAGAGAGAAAGCACAAGTCGGGCAGGGAGGCAGAGGGAGAGGGAGAAGCAGACTCCCCCTGAGCAGGACACCCCGCTCCATTGGATCCCAGGACCCTGGGATCATGAGCTAAATGAAGGCAGATGCTTAACCAACAGAGCCACCCAGGCCCCCCAAAAGGTTAAATACTAAAAAACCTTTTATGATATAAAATATTTTCACGTATATATTAAACAGGTTACTAACACGGTAGTAAGAATGGTCATATAGTTTTATTGTTTTTATGCCATTGCGTATCTTTTCATATAGAGGAAGGGATTAGATGTGGCCTCTAGAGGACAGTGTTGGGTCATAGAAAGATTTTCACGATCTGCCTGAGATGAAGATGGATTTACTTATTTTTCTTCTTCCTTTGTAAACACAAGCCCTCTGTTGATTCATTATTCCTCTTTGACTTTCAAAAAAAGTCAAAGAGAATGTATGCCTCTTCGGCTATCCTGATCAGCTGGAGATCTGCTTTCACTTGCTGTTTTTGTGCCCACGAATAGACGGGGCCAGAATGCTTGCCATTTTCACCCCTGCGTTCAGAGCACTGGGGGCTCATGGAAGTCCTGTGGGAGCCCGGGGACCACTACGGGGCACACACAATGTGCTGCGAATTCTCTCATGGTGGAGAGAGTGCTAGAGAGGTGACTTCCCTTTGGAAACACTACAGACCATTTGTAGATGGATGAAGATGCTCATAAAACACGGGGGGGGGGGTTCAGTTTCTCAAGGTCAAGACTGTTTACTCTGCAGTGATTTGTTGGAGGTGGGGGGTGGGGGTAGAGAAGGAAACAAACCATTCGCCTAGCTTCCAAAGCACATTTCTGGAGTCATCAGCATAGAAACTCCCCATTTTAATTTAAAAATTATCCCTCAACAATGAAATCTGTTACACTGAAAAGAAATTAAATAAAAATAAAAATTATCCCTCCAAAGGTCATCTCATGGGATTGACATTTTATTTTTAAGAGGCTCCAGGGGTAGGTAGGTTACGGAGTGTGACTCAAGCACATGAGGGCCGGATGAACATTAATTTGCAAAATCTTCCCTCATATGTAGAGGCAGCTGAAACAATTGTTCGAGGATTGATGGGCTCAGAGATTGTGGAGGACCATTCCGTCATTCGATGGATGACAGTTTCTCTCCATAGTGGAGTCTGAGGGCTCCCCTTATGCTAGGTGAGAACATCCAATATAAACACTGAAAAAGAGTTATTTGGACAACAGCATGTTCCACTTAGTGGCAACTTACAGATTTCTTATTTTTTTCTCAAAGAATAAATCTGCTAAAAGGTCCACTGTTGAATTGGGATAGATGAGCCTTTTAATAGAAACTTTGAAAGGGAGTGGAAATTTATGGCTCCTTGTAAATAGCCTGACATGAACATTCAGATCAATAGTATTTTATTCAGCCACACCATCGAAGCTGAACCAATGGGCAGGAGTCTCTCTTCTTCATCTAATAGTGCTCGATACCAAAATTTCTTTCTCAGGTCTAGTGTTCTCTTATTTAGTGGTAGTATAACAAAGTTCCCTTAACTGTGTAGGCGTTTAGTAATTATCACAGTGATTTGATAGGTATTTTGGTCCTTGAGATATGATTGGTTCTCTAACCTCGTCCCCCCCTTTAAAAAAATTTATTTATTTATTTGGGAGAGAGAGAGAATGAGAGAGAGCATGAGAGGGGAGAAGGTAGGAGGGAGAAGCAGACTCCCCATGGAGCTGGGAGCCAGATGTGGGACTTGATCCCAGGACTCTGGGATCATGACCTGAGCCGAAGGCAGCCGCCCAACCAACTGAGCCACCCGGGTGCCCTCGAACCAGGTCCCTTATCCCATGTTCCTTATCACAGGAGAACGTCACTCCATCCCATTTATGCAAGTCAGAATCCTTGACTGCTCTCTTCTTTCTCGTCCTTGCCCAGAATAGATGCAGCACCAGGTTCTATTGCCTTTTCTTTTTGAAGGTTTATAATTTTTTTTAGAGAGAGAGAGTATGTGTACATGACCAGGTGGAGGGGCAGGGGAAAGGGAGAGAGAGAGAAAATCTCTGACAGACTCCCCATTGAGCGTGGAGCCCCACACAGGGCCCAATCTCACGATGCTGAGATCATGACCTGAGCCGAAGCCAGGAGTCAGACGCTTAACAGACTGAGCCATCCAGGCACCCTTGGGTCCGATTGCTTTTACTTCTTAAATATTTCTTGAACCGTCCACTTCTCCCTCATGGCCACCGCTCTAATCCAAGCTCCCTCACGGCTGCCGAGCCCACCGCAGAAGCCATCTCGCCCACGAACAGTGTGATCTTTTTACACACACACCTACCAGACCTTCAGGGATCTCCTGATGTTCTTAGGATAACAGCCAAAGTCACTTTTGTGGACCGCAAGACACTGCAAGGACTGGTGTCTGTCTCTCCCTCCAGCCTCATCTGGAAACAGTCTCCTCCTGGCTCACTATGCCCCCCAAGCCTCCTGGCCTCCAAGGGCACTCAGTTTCCTCTGCCTGTGTTCTCAAACCTGCTGGCTTCTACGCACACTTTGTAAATCAGCCCCGGTGTGATTTCCTCATGAGTGCCTTTCCTGATCTGGCCTAGAGCTTTCCTTTTCTACACTCTGATAGACCCATGTGCTGTCACTTCACTGTGTTTATAATTAGACACTCAGCTCTGTTGTTTTTTGGTTAATCTGTGTCTCTACTACCAAATAAAAACTGTGAGCAGAGACCATGCCCCAAAATGCTCATTATCAAATCCCTAGCACTTGGCTTAGGGAAAAGGCGTTGCTCAGTACACTTGAAGTAATCAGTGGCTTTTTTTTACGGAGTGTTTAGGTAGAGGAAGAAGAACCCACTGGATACATTCGATATGAGAAATTTCTTCCAGTGATGACCGAAGTACTGCTGGAAAGAAGGTAAGAAAGTACATGTAATTGTTAAGGTGAAGCAGTGATTAGAATTATGTTAATATCAAAACACTTGGCTTTTTCACTCTGTGTGTTAGACTCAGCCAAATATTTATCCTGGAATCTCTTCCCTCTGACTTTTCGCTATACTTCCGAACTGCCAGGTGAAGTGTGCTTAGAAATATCAACCACGGGGGCACCTGGGTGGCTCAGTGGGTTAAAGCCTCTGCCTTCGGCTCAGGTCATGGTCCCAGGGTCCTGGTATCAAGCCCCGCGTCAGGCTCTCTGCTCAGCGGGGAGCCTGCTTCCTCCTCTCTCTCTCTGCCTGACTCTCTCTCTGTCAAATCAATAAATAAAAATCTTAAAAAAAAAAAAAGAAATATCAACCATGTTTGTATTAATCTCATAAGCAAAGTGTGATCACAGAGCAAAAAGGCCACACAAGGCACAAATCAACAATGTATTTATTATCTTCTATTGTGAGCTCTCAGTGAGAATTCACCCTAATTCTTTTTCTAAGGAACGTGTAGTGTTAGTTTACCACAGTTGGTTTATTGTAGAAACTTTGTTTCCAAATATTTTCATAATGATGAGAAAGGCTAACAGATATCTTCAAGTAGGCCAGTGAATTTGAACTCAGTATCTTCTGTGGCTGTGGAGTGCTTTCAACTTCCAGAAATTTCTTTAACTTCTAGAAATCCAAACATGTTTCAATGAAGGAAGTATTATTATCCTTGCATATCAGTAGGCTTTATTTCATTTTATGTGATCATTTATTGTGTAGAGACTGAGCTAAATACTATGGCGTTTCTCCTTTTACCGCATGATTAGATACAGACCGATTCCAGAAGATACCCTTCTTCGAGCGTTTGAGGTGTGTAAGCTCCAGATTTTACATATATTTATATGAAAAATTCATCCTGTAGAATATATTCACCAAGCAAAAAATAGAATATCTACCCTTCTTTTCTCTTAGGTGTTAGATCCATCTAAACGTGGATTTCTGACTAAGGAAGAACTGATCGAGTATATGACTGAAGAAGGTACGAGGCATTTATTATGCATTTTATAACTGTGACTTATTTAAGTGATTAATAATTTGACAACAATTATGGAAAAATTCTAGGAACACTTTTAAATCAATCATTCAGGTTCAAAGAGTTATTTATGGTTCCTGTTATTTTGGTATTGGAGTGGTTTCTGTTTTGTGGGGTAAATGGACAAAGGGTAGGTTAAAGAAAGATTGATTTTTGCCTTATAGGATTTTACAACATATAAAGATTCTGCTGTAAATTGAAGTCACTCCATTCAGTTAGAGTATTTTTCAGAATAAAAGCTATGCCACTTGGAAAACATGAGCTGTCAATCAGTAGAAATCAATGCCTGTTACTAGATTGAAGATGTGAATTGGATTATATAAAAATTCCTTTTTGAAGAGCTTTTCAGTTGATGAACTTACAGATAATACAGCCTCCATTGAATGGAATCCACACAAAAACTTACAGCTTTTTCTGCTGGTGGAACTCTGTATTTGCTTTGACCTTGACCTATGCACGCACACACACGTAGCCATCATATCGGCTCAGCTCTCTGGGCCGCCATGTTTCCTGGAGGCGCTCGCTCTCTGCTTCGGCTGATGTGTTTGTTTTCCCTGAATGTCAGTGGCCTAATGAGCGTTCTCTTGAAACCATGCCCCTCTTGGTCACCTCCCCAGTCTCCCATATCCTCTGTTCAGTTCACCGGTTTCCAGATTGAGCCCAGTGTGATTCAGAGTTGTTGCGATCGCTTGAGGCGGAATCAAAAGTGCAGCTAATTGTGAGGAGGGGAGACGAACACCGCGTCCACCTGCGTCTCTGGCTGACCACATTGGCCTCCCCCACCGCGATGTGGGGCTACGGACAACGAGGGCAAGAGTGACATGGCCATCACAGCTGCCACCAAGCTCTGGGACGCTGTAACAAATGTCTTAGGGGTTCACTTTGGTGGGAAGGGAATGGCTTTCAAAGCATCAACTTCTTAATCCTAAAGATTAATTAAGGGGAGTGAATCCTGGATTATATGAGGCAATGAATTTAGTCAAAATGGCCAGAAAGAGTTCATTGTCATTAATAGGGTGACCTGCTGTATGGAGGTGAGGGGCACTAAGGGCAGTGAGAGGGACTCAAAGCTCCATTTCTCCAGGATATTAGACTGGGGGGAAGAAAGGTGATGTGAAACAATTCACAGCATAAGACAGTGGATTCTCGGGACAGTAGGCTTCATGTGGGTGAGTTACTGGGAGCAGGGCTGAAGTCTTACACGTTCCAGTGCCCGCCCAGTCAGTCTCAGCAAGTCTGTGTTGAATGAATGAATGAATGAGTGAATGCGCAGATGAACGAAGAATGTGTGAAGGGGTCGATGGAGAGAGATGCCCTTGATCACACGGTGTGAACAGTAGCGGGGAGCTGGGGTGAATGTGATACTGTGATATCCTGGAGTCTGTGAGGGGAGAGGACCCAGAGGTCTCGCTGGCAGCCAGCAAGAGACAAATCTGGGGACGTGTGTGGACTGGCCCATTGAGGCCTGGGCCCGGGGGGCTGGAAGTCTCCATGTGGGCACCGCAGAAGTCTTGTAGGGTGCTGGGCTCATGGGCCTCACGGTGCAGGAGAGGGTGTTGGACAGAAAGAAGCGATAGCTACAGCAGGACCTTGTGCAGCAGGACCCGTGGGTCTCGGTGAGTCACGGAGTGCGGGGGACAGAGGTGGGCCAGGGCCGGAGTGATGGGTCTTTGACCTTGGTGATGGGATCAAGGTGATGCTGCTGACTGACATAGAGAAATCAGGAGCAGGCTGCCGTGGATACAGCGTGACTGTTCGCCATGTCCACACAGTCTTAGGCTGGGACGATGCCTTCTGAATGCCCAGGATGTCACGTGACGAATGTGACAAACCATGTGGACTCAGAGTCCTACAAGTTGTACAGGCGTGTGTATGGTGTCAGACAGTATTTAGGAACAGGGAAGGACTCAAAAAAAATTTTTTTTAAACAAACCCACATTGCCACCCACATGCCATGCAATATTCTAAGTGATATTTCAATAATAACGTTTCTCGTGCTCATAACGCCACATTCAGTAGGCACTGTTATTATCACTTCATTTTACAGACAGGAGAACTGAGGCTCAGAGAGTCGAAGTGACTTGCCCAGCTTTTGAACCCAGGCTGTCCGCCTCCCAGGACTGTGTTCTTAATCATTAAGCTAGTCTCCTTCCAACCTTAATCAAATACTGCGTATCTCCTTCCTTGCCCAAGGAAGCAGCGTGGCTGCCTTCTGGATTTCACTGTGAGCAAGGCTTTGTTCTGAGCAGTCGAGTGTGGTCCTGGAGTTCATGCACCTTGAGGTGGACGGCGGTATCCAGATCCCAGCCCTGCCTCTCACTGGCGGTGGGGGAAGCAGCCTCGCATCTGTGTGCTGGTGTCCTCTACTCCTCCTTTTTCTTTTTAAGATTTATTTATTTATTTGAGAGAGAGAGCAGCAGCGGGGGCGAGGGAGCAGGGGGAGAGGGAGAAGCAGACTCCCCACTGAGCAGGGAGCCTGATGCGGGTCTTCTGTGGGACTCGATCTCACGACTCCGAGATCTTGACCTGAGCTGAAATCAGGAGACGGATGCTTAACAGACTGAGCCTCCCAGGTGCCTCTGGTGTCCTCTTCTGTAAGTGGGGTAGCAGTTCTTACTTCTAATGAGGTGGCTGGGCGGTTAACTTAGTGAACGTATCTGAAGCACATAGGTCAGTATCTGGAACACAGCCGTTCTTGAGAAATGCTTGTTACTAGCATACTTTTAAGGACTTCTGTGGTGCCCATCAGAATTCACTGGCAGTGGATGTAGCTGGGTATAAGAGAGATTCAGAATCATCTCCATAGGCTCTGTAGGCATTCTTTTCTTAGGATGTAAGGACAGTTTCAAGGACTCGACACACTCCCCTTGTTTGATCATCTAACATCGTTGTCATCATGATCCCCAGGTGAATAATTTCTGTGGTATGATCTGACTTCCAGCCTAGAAAGGATTGTTCATGGGGGCAGGTGACAAGCTCAGAAGGTGAGCGATCCACAGACCTTGGTAACTCACCTGCTCAGAGAAGACTCTTTGGGGGGAAAGTGGTGATTTGGATGTTTCTGTATTTTTACTTAATATCAGGACAAAAGTCTTTCTTATGTACTCGGCGACATTTCCAATGTTCCTCCTGAATTTGCTTCTCATCTTGGTGAAACTGATGTCCGAGATGATCCTCAGCTGCTCTCTGAGTCCAGTGAAAGCCACAGATTTTCTATGCCGCTTCTGGTTCCGTTTGACAGCAACACTGGGCCAAAGCTGTAACAAAGAGGGCCCTTTAGATACGGTGGACAAATGGCATCTGTCCCTAGGCTCAGCTGGCGTCATGAAGTGGCCAGACCTGGTTAGGGGATATTCGGAGATACGGTGGCTGCAGTTGGAGCCTCCGCTCTTCAGCAATTTTGCATCGAGACCAGGTGGTCCCATCCTCACACCCTTGCGAACATAATGATAAGATGCCCTAGAAAACTGGGACTTCGGGTGAATCCTTAGGCAATCCCAATAGCCTTAATTTAAAGAAACAGCCTTGTTCAGGATGTCTTAATGTTCTTCTGCTGGGTTGGCTCAAGTGATCGATTTCATAGGTTGCTTGAGCTACGACATCCACAAGGTAAATAAGTCCCAGATCTGCCAGGGGCACAGCAGCAGCTCTTGGAATCTCCGGACTGGGTTGACATGCTGACCCCAGAGCCCCGGGAGGGGAGCCAGCAACCCAGCGGGGACCTGGGCAGCTCCAGTGCAATGAAGTTGGCTGATGGAAGGAGAAAGAAAATGATCAGAAGATTGTCAGTGATGAAACTCTCTTCTTGTCCTTCCCAGGTGAGCCTTTTTCTCAGGAAGAAATGGAAGAAATGCTGTCTGCTGCCGTTGACCCAGAATCGAATTGCATTCATTACAAGGACTACATAGCCATGATGGTGGTGGACGAGAGCTAAGTACCCTGGAGACTCATTGAAAGGACAACTATAGAGATGGCCTGTCCTCGTTAATTTCACATCTTATAATTAATGCCCAGTGACAACTATTTTGCAGTACTTTGGATTGTAAAGATGAGCACAAATTTATTTGGTATGTCTAGCCTTATGGAATGACCAATGGCTAATTATTTTAAAGCTTGTTCTTAAAAACATTTTAGCATTATCTGTGGATTGTTGTGGATTTTCTACAATAAAACCCCAGTGACCTTCAAATTCATTATGCTGACAAAATGAAGAACGACCAGAGTGACCCCAGGTTGGGCATAGAAAGATCTTGGGAGGGAACAGAGTGAGCACAAAGTGAGGGCCAGTATCAACGTGCTGAAACAAGCAACAAACAACGAACCTTCAACATCGGAATGGGAGGGGGTTGTTGAAAGGAATATTAATAATTAACCCCTTACGAGTGTCATTTATAAATCTCATCTGAAATGTTAGTAACTTAGTGTGACAATGTAAGTGTGCTGATTCAGTGTTACCATTTGCAGAGCAGGTAACGGAGTTGAGGTCATTGACTCTAGAGACAAGAAGACTGAATGGAAATTGACAGCGTAAGGGAGTGGCCATACTCTTCTGGTCTTTTGAATTCTTAGCTATTCTCATCGAATTTAAATTGAAAAATAAACAAAAAAAAGAATTCTTAGTTCAGAATAATTGCCGTGAGAATATTGTTCTGAATACTGAATAAGAATATTGAGAAATTGTGTGGTATGCATGAGCGACAGCAGTGGAAAAAGCAGAATGAAGTCTGAGCACAAGGAATCACAACAAAGAAAGACCCAGGGACTCAAAGGCAGAGGGGAAAATAACGTGAAGGAAAATGAATAATCTCCCATAACCTGTGTATTCTGTCATGCGTACACGGTGATCCCTATTTGAAGATGCTTCCCCCCAGCATTTGATGTTGCTTATGATGCTTCCTTCTTGGCATGCAGGATGGGGGCTGCTACTGGAGAGGTAATTTGTCACTGTTTGTTCCTTGGTTCATGAAACATTTCCTGAGTATTATTAGGTACTGTGTTAGGAACTGGAGCTGCGCGGGGGCTCTAACTTATTGAGGTCACGGTTCAGTGAGGGAGATCTGCAAGTCAGTCAGCAACCACATTTCAGGCTAGGGCACGTTCAGGGTGCTGTGGAGGTGGAAAAGAGGGGCACCTCACTCGGCCTGGGGGGTGAGTTTCTGGCGAGAAAATGGTCTATTGAGCAGAAAGGACCTCCCAGATCAAGCGACACTGACAGAGTCGAGTAGTTCACTAAGCTGGTGATGGGACACAGGGGGTTTCCACGGGGGAGCAGCAAGTACAGACACCCCAGGGGTGTCATGAAACAGGGAGCACTCTGGGAATTGAAGGTAATGTAGATGTGGGGAATACGATGAGAGATGAAACTGGGGTGGTAGACAGGAGCTATACCATTGAGGATATCGGGTTGGTCATATCAACCCGATATCGGGTTGGATATCGGGTTGGGTTTTCTTGTTAGAATCTGGATTTTTTCTAAAGATCACAGAGAAAGATCCTTTGTAGATCATGTGGAAAATGATCTCGAAGAGTCGAGACCAGAAGCAGGGAGACCAGGTGGTAAGGGAGCTGGTTGGTGGAAGGGGTAGGTTGGGAAGAGTCCAGCAGGTGGCCAGGGGTTGGACGATAGAGCCATTTATTTAGCGAAGAAATCAAGAAGCGGGTCAGGGTCGGTGGGCAAAATGGGGAGTTTGGCGGTAGATCAGGGAGCCAGTGAGGTACCTAGGGGAGACAGCCGATCAGTTGGAGCAGCAGGAGGAAGATCTGGCAAGAGAGATGGATTTTGGAGGTTCCAACATGTAAGTAGTAGTTAAGGAAAAAAAGTAGTAGAAGAGTGGTGCAGGGAAGAAGAAGAGTGTCAGCAGCCCAGGGGGGACATCAGCATTTAAGGGCGGGCAGGGGAGGACGAGCCGACGAGGGGCAAGGAGGAGAGGATCCAAGGAGAAGACAAGGGCCGTAGAGAGGGCAGGTAAGTTGAAGACGGAAAATGTCCACCAGTTGGGGCAACCGAGTTCACTGGTGGCTTCTGAGGAGCCAGTTTGGTGAGTGACGGGGTGAAGGGTCGTGGCTGGAGGGCCAGAAAGCTGCGGGACCGTGAGCACGAGGACAGGGCTGGAGAGAGCTGGCAAGACGGAGTGGGTATTTGCAGGAGCGCGGACACCCACGGGTGTTTGTGCTCTCCCCGGAGGAAGCAGGAGGAGCCGGATTGCAGAGCGAGGAAAGGGTTGCCTTGGGACGGCTTGGAGCGCTGAACCAGCGTGGACAGCTCCTTCCCAATGGCCTCTCTCATGTTTGCACGAGGAAGAAGGTGGTGGGTTAGAGCAGGAGATGAGCGATCTGTGTAAGGATTTTCAGGGACTCCTGGAGGATTTTGCCCGATAACCCAGGCTCGGGAGCAAACACGGTGGGTTGCTGTGTCGGCTCAGGGTTCAGGTTTTGTCAGCTGGGATGGAAGGAACTGAAGGTCAAGGCAGTTGGGTCCGGCAGCGCGCGGGGGTAGTGATGGCCCTTGGAGCCCACCTGCTAGGGTCAGAGGCAGGGAGGAGAGCTACCAGACTGAAAGGGGCAGGGGTCTGGGGACCTCCACTGCAGCGACCAGTATAGCAGGAGGGGAGGTGGTGACGGGCTCCCCTGCCATTCCCGGGTAATAACCCAGGCTACTGGAAGTTTGACTTCACTTTGTCCTTAGGGTCATTCCATTTACAAATAGCAAACATGGATGCGGGCAAGGAATCATCACTTATGGAAGGTGTAGCGATGGGACCCAAGATGAAACCCAAGTGCAGGGTTGGCTTAGCCACGTGTGCGAGAGTCACTTCCCAGATGGGGGTGTGAGCCCCATGCCTTTAGGTCAGAGCGGAGCAGCGTCAGGAGGGGGCATGGTGACCCTTCGGAGAGCTCGGACCCCTTGGGGACACATTGCAGCCGCTGAGGATGGTGGCAGGGACGTGACAGGTCCTCGAAGGCGGTGCCTCCAAGGGCACCTCATTGGGCAGCATGGGCCAGCCCCAGCATGCCACGGTGACGCGTGTGCTGGTGCCCAGGGCGGAGACCCAGGTGTGGACTTGTTTAGACACACGGGTGGCTCCAGTTTCTCTTCTAGAAGCCTGTTGCCCTGCGTGACCCTGGCACCCGAGAAGCACAGTTTAGTGAGTTAACCCCGACATATTCATCATCTTTCTGAGGACCGGTGCTCCCCTAGAAGGACGCCTCAGGATCAGGTACTCCCTTCTAGAATTCTCCCGAAAGTTTTGACTGATGTCCAGCTGCATAGCCTGTCTCAAGGAAATTCTGGTAGTCATAAGAGTTAGCTCTTTGGAATCTGATTCATTTATCTTTAGCACAAATTTGTCTTTTTTTTTTTTTTAAGGCCTCCAAAAAGGAGCAACACAGACTTCCCACAGAAATCTGGTTTTATCCCCCAGTTCCAGAATAAATGTGGCAGAGTCACAAAGGGAACATTTGTCTTTCTACTCAAGCCATTTCGGTTCATCTTTTACCTCTCTCTGCCACTTAGCCCCCAGCCTCTGCTTTCAACACAGGGCATTTTCCTGGCAAGAGGGGTGCTTGGTTTCTCGTGCAGGGTCTGCTTGTCCTTGTGACCCTGGCTTCTGGAGCGCCTGCCACACCCCCCAGCTCTGCTGGGCCTCGTGCGGAGACAGCTTTGCCCTGTGTTGCCCGTGACTCACTCTGGTCAGGTGCCCCCTCCCGTGCACCCCGCCTCGAAAACAGGGCCCACCTCAGCTTCTCGCGCCAAGCGTCCAAGTGCCAGATGCTAAGAGGCAAAGAGAAAGTCCAAGACGGTTGGCTCATTTGGGATTTCCACTGGCAGGATTATTTTCTGTGGCATGCGATTCATCGAGATCTTTCTCTCTGCCTTCCAACTTTCCCTCCTTCACCTTTTCTAGTTGTTTTCGGGTTAGAGAGCACCTTGTTCCTACAGCCACTTCCCTGTAAAGGGTCAGTGTCACTACATTGCCTCTGGGCACTTTAAAGAAGCCAAGATCCCCCTGGTCACATACTCCCCAACCTCATGCTGGACGGGGCGGCTGCGTGTGTCTGCAAGTTGGGTCAGCAGTCTCCTGCATCAGAACACCTGGGAGGGGTATATATTAGAAATCCGGGCTCCTGGGTCCCATCAGGCCCCAAGACCGAATCTCTGGGACAGTATTAGATTGTGCAGTCAAGTGTGGGGTTTGGAGCTGGGCTTTGCCACAGACTGACAATGCAGTGGGTGCAGACATTTAATACTACTGGGTCTCTGTGTCCCAATTTATGAAGTGGGAAGAATGCCAACCTTGTAGGACTGGTGGGAAAATCAAATGGATAATAAAGGTGAAAATTCTTTAAAGGTATAAGGCATGGCACAAATTTTATTTATAGGAAACCAGCCTGGGTAGGGAGGAAGTAGTGAAGGAGGAAGAGGAGAAAGGGGAGGGAAGGCGGGAGGAGAGGAGGGAGAGGACCGCTGCCTGGGTAGGCAGGTAGGTAATAATGTATTTGATCTATGGGCCAAGGGTAGAGAGCCACCTAAGTCACTGCTGGTAGAGAGAACAGGAGATTTGCTATCCTGGTGCTGCTAATTAAAAGCTCTTAAGTTTACTTCTAGATTGTGAAATTAGGGGGTTAAGGTAGCACTTGGTCTTTTTTTTTTTTTCTGAAAACTGCAGTAAAAAAATCCCCAACAGTATAAAACGAACCATCTTAATCATTGTCCAGTGTACAGTTCAGTAGTGCGGAGTGTATGTACGTGCTTGTGAAACAGATCTCCAGAACCTTTTCGTCTTGCAAATCAGAAATTTTATACCCATTAGACAACACCCCTTCCCCCCACGCCACTAGCAAATACCATTCTGCTTTGTTTCTGTGCGTTTGACGACTACGAGTTAGATACCGCTTGTAAGTTGAATCACACAGTATTTGTCTCTTTGTGACTGGCTGATTTCACTCTGCATCCTGTCCTCAAGGTTCACCCATGTTGGAGCAGGTGTCGGGATTTCCTGCCTTTTAAAGGCAGGCTGAAACTCCGTCGTCCATACTTACCGCGTTTTGCTCCTCCATTCGTTTACCGGGGGACATCCAAACTGCTTTCACCTCGTGGGTCACCGGCATGGCTCTGTCGGTTGGCGTCTGATTCTTGGTT